CTCACTAAAGCATGGCGGATCCAATCTTCTCGTCGATGCGCGCAGACACAATTCTCCGTGACGTGATTCCGACAGCCACATGCCTGCGCATAGAAAAAGCTCTTGATCGGCTTCCAAAGAGCATCAAATGCTATTTAAATAATTATCTACAAACCATTAAAATTACTGGAATTTAGCAAAATTTAATTAATAAAATTTAGCAGATATAACGCATCGAGTAAAACTCAATAAAGCCCGCAACTCATCTCGTCTGTTTCCCAATAAATAGATCATTAGCTGGTGAATAATTCGGCAGCTCGTTGCCTCAGTGCGAGGGCAAACGATTATTGCGCGAGGCACGCGAGATTGCGTTGGAAAATTTGCAGCGTGCAATGGCTCGCAAATTGACCGTTAATTAATTAAAAATGAAGAGAGACGCACGTACCAGCCCCTCGTCGTCGTCCTCGTCGTTGTCGTCGTCGTCGTCAGCCCTTCAGTCTTCTGGTAATCGGGTTAAATTAAACTCGGTTAGCGTGTATCTCGCTTGGGCGCGTGTATAGTTAGCGACTTGTTATGTGCGAAATCAGGCGCACGCGCTCTCGCATAAATAGCTAAGTCGGTATATATACCCTCGTGACACGCGCTCGCACACCGTACGCTGATGCTACACATTTAGTGGTGGCTCATCGAATTATGACTTCTTAATAAATCAATTGGATTTCGTTTTTCTCTTTAAAATTGTAATTTTCTTCATCTGTAAATGTAATAATAACGACGGATCAAACGGAAATAGGATCTATAATTTGACATACAAAATACAAACGAAACATTGATCAAGATCTGAAAGCTTACAACGCTAAGCACAATATCTAAACTGCAAAAGATACTACTGAAAATTAAATTCACTAAAATAAAAAAGATGGGTTATCATCAAAATTCGCGTTCGCGAGAGTTAACGTCTCGTTAATCGCCAAGGGACCGAATAACAGAAAATCACGAGGTCGTATCGATTTTTAAATTGCGTAATAAATAAAATTAGTAGCGACGAGAAGGGTGACTGTCGGCGTGCGCGCACCGGCCTCCTGAGGGGCTGCGAGCAAGTCCTAACTTAATCCGAAGAAGAGAGAGAGAGCGAGAGAGAGAGAGAGAGAGAGAGAGAGAGAGAGAGAGAGAGACTGAGGGCAACTTTTGGTCCATAGCTTAATAAAACTGTCTCAATTTTTGCCTCATTACCAAGCTACGCCTACTGATTTTCTTATTTGATTCGAACGAGTTTTTTATTATTGTCATTTTTGCGGCTTGAAAAACTAAAAATTCCAATTCATTTATATCTTTTGAAAGCAAATTGAAAATAATAATTTTTAATAATAATAAATTTTAATAAACTTTAGAATTAGTAAAAATATCATTCGGTCAATAAAAAAGAATCAGTGGGAACTTGCATTTTCGACAAATCGTTGCTGGCGGAATAGTACTGTAACTAGCTCTCAAGTTTCCTTTAGCGCCACAATCGAAGTTTTTGAATTTCCCGAACTCGATTAGTTGATCATAATGAGCTCCTAACTATGCCTATGATGGTGCCGGATCATAACCAAAGATAAGTTGAACAATTGACTTCAAGAAGACATCATTTTTAATTATTCAATAAAAGTAATCTTATATTTATAAATATATAAATTTTGTCAATAACTCTTACTTCAGCGTGGGTAAAATTGTAGTCAATGTAAGGAAAAATATATGACAAACAAATATTTATTAAAGCAAATTAGCTAGAAAAGTATTTTGTAATACATTGAAGTTTAAAATCTCGGTGGTAAATCTCACCGTTTTTTAAATGAAATTAAAAATCAAAATATATATTTAACTTATTTTTATTGAATTTGCGAAAAAATATGCGTACTACAAACATTATTTTTATTTTCATCATAATATTATTACTTTCTGAAGCCATTATGAAATAAACAATTGTTAAATAACCCGCATATGCAATTATTCAAAATTGTACAAAACACGTATTTCTTATAAATGCCATTTATTTATATCAATAATTAACTTCAGTCTCTGTCTAACTCTTTCCATGAATATATCGAAAAGTCTTATTAAATATATTCTTATCGATGCTCAAATATTCGATTTCGATATTAAATCGGAATCGCATTTCAATTTCAAATAAAAGTCTCGTGTAATACTTAAAGTTTGTAACGAAGAAGTTATATAAGAAAAGCTAAATTTTAAATACTAATGTACCCATTAAAAATGTATAGCAGTCGATACTAAAAATGACTATAATTATGAATATGAATACCTCATGCTTAAATTATTTAATAATATACTACTTATCGCATTTCTCATCATTAATAATAGAAATAACATTGGAATAAATTTTAGAGCGTCGATTCTATAAGAAAAATCTATGTGATTAAAATAAATATATGGTACTTTATAATACCAAGTTTTCGATCGGAGATTGTTATATAAGCGTTTCACATCGTAAAAAATAAATATATATATAAAAAATAAATTATTGTTCTAATGTTTTGTATTTATAAATATAAACTCAACAATTGGATCAGCAATATTATCATTTTCTCCCCATAAGAGTAACGGGAACTTGTATTTTTGTCAAGTTGTACTCTGGTGGAAATATACTTTTATATGCCTTCAAATTTCCTATAATTCCGTGATCGAAGTATCAAAATTTTCCCGAATTTATCGACTGGCCGTAATGAGTTGTTACCTTTGCAGCTATTGGTGCTAAATCATGATCCCAACTTATAGGAAGTAGAGAATTTAAAAATAAGCACAGATTATTAAGAACGCGGAAAATACTTACGTAATCTATTTGCGCATAATCAAATCGGACACCAAGAAAAACAAAAAACCATCAAAACTTCTTTTGGAATTCAGTCAAACTGCAGATGTATTTGATCAGAAATTCTCGAAAAATATCTTGTCGGAAAAGTTCTTTGTATATGATACGAGTAAAAATGTAAATTATAGTTAAAACAATGCAATTATTTACTAGAGATAAATAAAAACATACAACAATAAATTAACTTGAATAGTTAATGTCAGAAAAAAAAATTTCCTCACTTTTATAATACCATAATTAAAAATAATATACGACTTACGTCATACAATGGTGTGAAAGGAGCTAGAAAATGAAGATGACCTTTTATATGACTCATAAAAGCTGTAGGTGCAAAACAAAAGATAATTTTTATTTTCGATGCGATGCCAGGTCGTTCAGTACCGCAGTAATAAGCGCTGCAGTATTTCCTATTGAATGACCAACGACGAAAATATCACCGCTATGTATTTTAGATATGTAGATAATCTCAGCGGGAATATAGTACATTCCCATTTCATGAAAACTAAACATTTATTTATAATTTCATGAATCAATAGACATAATTTTGCAAAGTAAAACATCTTTTTCTCAAGTAAAGTCCCAGAAAGTGTACTCGGATGAAGTATATTTTACACGGCACCTTGAGTAGCACCTCTATCATTTGCTAGCCAGACATCGTAACCTTCATCAGCAAGAAGAAATGCTGCACAGGCACAAATTAATTGTTTATTTTTTAGTCTTGAATATTTATAGTTTTTTTTCTTATATATTAATGTTACCTACCGAATCCTACATTTTTATCGATAAAAATCCAATCAAACGACGTTCCAGAATATCCGTGATGTACAAACACGACTGGAGCACCTGCTGGACCTATAATTCTATTCATCATTAGCAAGTACTCATCTTCTGTCAGAATCAAATGATCTTCGGCTGGATAACCTTCTGCTGTTATAAGCTCAAACTAATATATTTAATAAATTAAATGGCGTGGAAATATAACATATATTTATTATTCTATAAGACTTTTACGGGAGTTGTGAGATTCTTATATTTTCCCTTAATACCGGTGATACATTTCGATATTGATTTATTTCCTCTAATAGTGCCATTATATCCAAAAAAAATTACCAACTTTGAAAGACAAAGAGATATAAACCATGATAACTACTTTACGAGACGTATTTCCATATTAATAAACATGGCTTGAATACATGGTTTCGTCTAGTAATCTATTGTGTCAATATCCAATAGTCATAGCAATATATTTAAATTGAAATAATTATAACGTAATAATCGCGAATACTAAGTTATTTAAAAAATGGAAAAACAACTTTTGAAACATTGTGTTATCATGTTATAATTCATATTTGAACATATTATCAAAAAACTTAAGTTTACCATAATAGTCATGTTGAAAATTTTCGCATATAAAATGCATAATTTAGATTTTTAGTAGAAAAATAGATTTAAAGAATAAAAAAAAGCCATAAAGGTGAAGGAACTGACTCGCCTAAACGCATAAGGACAGTCTCGCGCTCAGTTGATAAAGAAATAAAGACTCGAGAAAGTTGGCTGCTACCGTTCGGAGGGTCTCCCGAGAGGCCTTATGACTTAAAGTCTCCTTACTCCGTTAATTCCGAACATTAACAAAAGTCTCGCTAAAACTCGCCAGCGCAACTTTGGCCAAGTTCTCTTGGGGACGCGGGCGCGGCACTTGTTAATGAAAAAAATACAATAAAAGTCTAATCGGGAGATTTTCGCGTGACTGAAAGTTTTCTTTTCTTTTTTTATAACTTGGCGATTGTTAATTTTTGTCCCGACTTTTATTCTCGGAGATTTTTTTTGTAACCTTTTGTTGTTGCTTTACATTTCAAATGAACTAGAGATTCGTTAGTATAATTTTATGAGGGAAGCTATTCGTACAAACTGAAAGAAAATAAATATTATGAATAAATTTTGACATGTTAAATGTGCTTGATACTTTTTCATATAGCAAGAAAACGCTGTTGTTAACTTAGGCACTTTTAGTCAGATGAAAATGAATGAAATATTAATCGTTTTGAATTTTATTTTAAAGAGTATTTTCCATTAAAACTTATACCTATGCAGTTATAATGAATTCCTCGCAAAATTGGCTTAAAAAACAGAAACATTTTACAACTTTTATTTATTTATTATTTTGGTAATTTTTAATAGCATTTATAAGCTCTTTATATACTAATTCTGGTGCTTGTGTTCCATATATATAATCTATATGATTAAATTTTGGATCTTTTATTTTATGGTAGAGTATTTTATTTGGTATCACATCGTACAAACGTTGAACATCCTGAAACATTCTTATAAAATTATCATTCTCTAAAATTTTTAATGATTAGAATGAAATAATTATCAATATTACCTGAGGACTCGAGTAGTAATCGTTTTCAGCCCAGAAAAAACCAATTGGAACTTGTAGTTTGGATAAGTCATATTCGGGTGGTATCAAGTCCAGATACTTTTTTAAATTACCTATAATACCGTAATTATATTCTCGGAATTTTTTGGAATCTATAATTTGAGCGTAATGAACAGCTGTTTTAAAAGATGATGGTGGTGATTGGAGTTCAAAAAGTAGAGGATAAAGAGTCTAAAAATGATTGTATGAGAATCAATAATTTAAGTTGACAAATGTAAATAAAATTACGTACATAATTGACTTGAGAGTAATTAAACCCAACAGCACTAAAAATAAAGAACAAGCAAACTCGCTTATTCACTAAAGATTTACCACAAAGTTCTTGCGTTAAAAGATTTTGTAAAAGACCAGGCTCGTTAATTTCTCCAGCTGATAGCTTCTTAATTAAGCTCTGAAAAATATAAATTATCTTAATACTAATATATTACGAAGTGTTTTCATTAAAAAACTTACTTGAACCGGATTGGCAAGTTTGGTTACCAATCGAGTAATACCCCTAACGTGATTCATGTAAGCTACTGGAGCCAAACTATACATCGCTTTGACTTTTGATGCAGTTTCAGGCTGTCTCACGCCCATAATGTAAAAGGAAGTTGTGCCCATTGAATGACCGACAAAGTATATGTCACTATCTATGATTTTTGAAATATAAGTTATTACGGCTGGTAAATCGTACATTCCAACTTCATGAAAACTGCAAATATTATATATCATAATTGATAATGAAAAATATCAAGAAAAAAATGTTAACATTCGAGTACCTGAAGTCCCAAAAACTATACTCAGATGAAGTGTAATTGACATGACATAATGAAAAAATTCCGCCTCTTGCATTAGGCAGCCAAACGTCGTATCCTTCCTTAGCTAATAAAAATGCTAAACAAAAACTAAATTATTTTAATGTTGTATAATGATACATATCTAAGATATGTATTACAAACGAGGTATTACCTAATCCTTTTTTTTTACCAAGAATGACCCAATCAAAAGAAGTGGCGGAATATCCATGCTGCAAAATTACAGCGGGAGCATTTTTAGGTCCAGGAATCCTATTTAGTGTCAATAAATATCCATCTTTAGTCAAAATTAAGTGATCCTCTGCTGGATAACCATTTTCTTGAATGAACTCGGACTAAAATTAATTCAATAGTTATTTTACACTTATACGTACAGTACTTATTGTAATAATTATTAAAAGAAACCATACCGGAGTCATATTCAAATCTGAATATTTACTTTTCTCACCATTGAGACAATCGGAAATAGCTTTATTGCCCGCAATAAGTCCATGATATCCATAGCAATTTATTTCTTTAAAGATAAGTATATCCGAAAGAAGTAAAATTATACTTGACATCGGCATTGTTCTTGTTTCTCATGGAATCTTTAATTGTAATACCTACAATTAATTCTATTAATCAAAAATATTTTTCTTTGTAAATTATTGATAAATGTCGCAATTTAATCGATAAATCGATAGATACTTCGAAAGTTTTCAAGACCATGATGCGATGCGAAAGATTTATTACTTCAGTTTGAGCACATAAATCAATAAAAAAATAAAAATTTTCACAATTTTACACGGGGCTGAAAAAACTAAATAGCCCAAGGCATTCAAACTCCTCAGTAAACAACAGGACGAAGTAAAAGTTATATCACCACGAAAACTTCCCAATATCAGTTAGCCGCGTACAAACTTGACTGTGTGTGTAGTAAGGGAGAGCAGAAAATAATGTTTGATCGCGCTGAAAATTAGAGAAGCGATCTGCGGACGGACGCAGCTATATCGCGCGCGATAACGAAGAACGAGAGATGGAAAGAGAGAGAAAGAGACCGAGTGAACCCAAGTCCCTTGGGAAGAGGTGTGCGAGCGCGTGCTTTTTTTGTCGCTACTCCTCCCCACGGCTCGGGAAAAATCATCTCGCTGCCATTTCGAAGCTCATCCTTCGGCGCTTCGTTTCAGTTTCGTTAGAGATAAATGTTGGGAAAGGGAAAGGTGGACGAGAATTTGCTGGTGTATAAAAGATTTTAGACGATAGAGTTGCAGCGTGTAAAATGTATTTATCTTTATCGTGCGATTACTTTAGAATTAAATTTTATTTTCATCTTATGGAAATTATTATAACAATTTTATAGTTTCAATATATATCTATTTTGAACATTTAGATTTCATATTTTCAAAATTTACGTCTTTAGTAAAATATTTCTATTACTTTAATTTTTTCGGAACGTTAATTTTAATTGTATCTCATTTTTTTTATTTATACCTATTTTTATCATACGTATCTAAGCTTAGAAATAGATGCAAAATCACTAAAAAATAAGATTAAACTACTCGCTTAAAGTTTATTTTTAAGCATAAATAACAAGAATTTACATAAAGTACCTAAACCATATTTTAGGTCAAGTGCCTAATAAAATAAAAAAATGCACTATCCACTTATCAATTTTATGTGATCGACTGTTCGAGAACTTGAACTTTTCATGTGAGACGATGAATTAAAACTGATTTCTTAGCTCCGAAGCGTATCATAGAAAAGTTAATGCCGGTAGTTATCTATGTGAAGGAAACCCAACCCACTCTAAAATGCATTCTACCTCGAGTAGGCGAATGGCGTTATGAGAGGGGGCACCTGTTTTACGGCTAACTTTCTTTTTTAATAAACATTGTATGTAACTTTAACAAATTTGATAACATTAATATTGTATTAATCATAAACTAGTGAAAGGCGTACCTTTCAAAGTATTAATAATAGAATCTAAATCGCTGGAAACCTGAGTATGGCTAGTTTAATTATAAAAATCTAGGAAAAGCGTCATATTTTCTTATCTATTTAACTGTATATGAAAGATTTAGTACCAATATTTCATATAACTGATGTAATATGCATTGAAAAATCTCTTACACAGTTGCCAAATAATAAATCAAAGTTAGTTATACTATGAATAATAATCAGATTCTAAAGTAGCTGTTCAAGTCACAATAACAATAACAACAAATAAAATGATATTGTAATACTAAAGGATATAAGTGAACTAGAATTCCAAGTCGAATGACAAATACACGCCATGCCTTTTACGTAATTTAGAAAGTAAATTAGTGGAAAGTAAAAAATTATTTGAACCTCGTGCCAAGGTTGAGCCTTTCTACAACTGTAATATAAGACATATATAATCATTTCACACAACCTGCGAGGTAAATATACTGCTATTCATTCTGATTTCAAATATCGAGCTGTCAAAAGTCATTAGAATTCTTATGTAAGCAGAGTACGAATAGGAAAGGAAATGTTTATTCAACTGCTATATTTCACAATTCTAAAGTTTTTTGCGTGGATACGCCGCTGTCAGTTAATGAGTGATAATATAAGTACGTCCACTTAACTCAACTATAAAATTACTATTCTATCAAAAGTAATAATAACACGGCATCGTTACGTGAGTCACTTAAAATAATTTTTTACACATAAAAGTGGCACAATAAAAATTCTACTTTTTTTTTCTCATGTATAACAATAATATTTTGAAGAAATTTGTTATTATAAATGATTTTCAATATTTTTGAGGACCGAAATTACTTTTGTATAAACTAATTCCGAAGCGTTTTTTGCGTGTACAAAATCCAAATGATTGAATCTTGAATAGTTTATTTTATGATATAACATTACCGTTGGTATTTTACTGTACAAATGTATAACATCCTACAAAATCAATGCAAATAAAAGAATTATTATAAAATTTAATTTACTTTTTCACGTAAAAAAAAAAATAAATGCAGTTAGAAAATTACCTCAGAGGTAGCCAAAAGATCATTTTCTGCCCAAATAAGACCGACGGGTGTTTGTATTCTTGATAACTCATAATCTGGAGGCGTAAAACTGTGATAGGACTTTAGGTTTCCTAAAAATCCATAATCGTATTGCCTGAATTTTCCAGAAACTATCAGCTGGGCATAATGAACTGCGATCTTAAAAGCCGATGGTACGAAGCCATGATGTACATTAAGTGGGACGATTTCCTTGAAAAATGTGAAAATAGCGTTACTTTTCAATTTGAAAACCCTACTTATACTCTACTTACATAATCAATCTGTGAAAAATCGATGCCAAAAACGGTAAAACGAAAGAAAAGACAAAGTTGTTCAGTCAACTGAGATAGAATACAGAACTTCTGCATGATATCTTTTAGTTTAGTTTGCTGGAATATTTCTCCTGCTAATGAATAATTAATTATTGGCTGCAATAAAACAATATTCCAAGTAAAAAAAATTAAAAAGTGATCTGCTACGAGTACGGGTACAATACTCACTTCAACTAGAGTTGCAAAAGGAGCAAAAAATGGAAGAATTCCTTTCGCGTGTCCTAGAAAGCCTACTGGTGCTAAGCCTATCAATATTTTAAATTTTGATGTTAATTCAGGTCTCTCTATAACCATGATATATGATATAGTTGCTCCCATAGAGTGGCCGATGTAATACATGTCAACGTGGTCTCTGATTTTTTCTATGTAATTTATTTCGGCAGGTAAATCGTACACGGCTATTTCATGGAAACTAAATGATCAAATGATATTTCTAGCAATAAAGTAAATCAAATCGTAAATTAAAGCAGTTATGTAGAAATATAACTATGTAATACCTAAAATTCCAAAAACTATATTCAGATGTAGTATATTTAACATGACATGCTGAATAAAGTCCACCTCTTGAATTACCAAGCCAAACATCATAGCCTTGATCAGCCAGCAAAAATGCTGTAAATATGATGATTAATGTTGTATACATTACCAAAATTATTTTAACATTTAATTTTACCTAATGCTCTATTTTTGCCAAGAACTATCCAATCGAAAGAAGTAGCCGGAAAACCATGATGCAAAAGTACTACGGAGGCATTCGGTGGACCTGGGATTCGATTTAATGTAAGAATATAACCATCTTTCGTCAATACAAAGTGGTCCTCAGCTGGGTATCCTTGATTTTTTATAAAATCATACTGAAAAACCATTTAAAATACATTCCACTCAAATTCATGATTTCAATAGTTGAAGCAAGGATATTTACCGGCGTTACGTCAAGTCCTGAAGATTTAGTCTTACCACCATTAATGCACTCTGAAATATTTTTATTTCCGGCTATTGGTCCATTGTAAGTGTCACAATGATCAGCTATTGTAAGAAAAATCGAAGAAACGTATAAAACAATAAGAAGGGACATGTTAGTTCGTTTAAACTAATATTTTTTGGTTGCTTTCCTTGTTGTCGAGTGATAAATAATTTGACAAATTGGCTTGGCCATAAAAATACTCTATCAAAAGTACGCTTGTAATTTACTATTTGAGATAGAAAGGTAATTTCATAAAAATAGAGCGTTTCATACTTTAAACTACTTATTTATCATTCTTGATAATAATAATGACAAAAATCAAGTTTTCACTACCTGACGTTAAACTTCAAAACTCGTATTTAATATAAAAATCATGTAACAGTAACACAGAATTATTTATCGCGGCCAAGATGTTAGAGCACCAAAGACCAACATCCGGTTGAGAATTCCACAAAAGGAAGAAATTACGCTCTCAAATCCCTGGCCAAAGATTGTACTACTGCAAGCGCACTCCGCACTGCGGCATAAGAGTTTTTGCAGATCTGCTTACAAATTCCCGCCGCGAAGGCAATCGCGTGTCTTGGCAGGCAGGCTGCCGGGTGGGCGGACAGACGGACGTCCGTTGGTTCACTCGCGAGGGCAATTACGCGAGCCGTTGGGGTGCAAGCCGCTGCGAGGAGAATCAAAACTAGAAGCGGGTGGCGCAACCAACACACACGCGCACACACACATACACACAACTTCGCTCAGCCGGAACCCACGTGCGCCCCGCGAGACCTCTCTGATCGGTAAGTGCGCAGGGTCGCACATTAGCGCCGATTTCGATTGGCTTTGCGATGCAAGCATGGAATTGTCAATGCCACAACCGCACTGCTCGCATTGCGCTGAGATTGTGCGCTCGAATTCCTCAGTTAGCGTTAATTCCAGATTTTCCTTCGTTGCGGTGGACTGCCCCCTTGGTAGATCTTGCCATTTGATAACAACTCGATGCTAGGTGTAAAATTTTCCGCCAAGGTTCTTTCGATTTCAAAATTACATTGAAATTCTAATTACAGCTAGAAGTTTGCAGCGTATAACAAAATTTGCGGAAGTAGTAATTCATTAAGCGCTGCGGCCGCAAGCTCATAATTATTGCATTCATCCGCGAGATGAAACGCTGGGAAACGTTGAGGGCACCTGGCGTCCGGCCATGGTCCCAGAGGCTTAAGCGAGTTATGACGTCATAAATGTTTCCAGTCCGATCGCAGATTGAAGGCGGTACAAGCGTGTTTGCCATGGCAAAGCCGAAGAGCTTCACAGCCCGGGATTCCGATATATGAAAATAACCTACCAACATTTGAATTATACATATATATATATGTATACATCATTTGTGTGCGAGCTTCGTGCGAGAGATTTCTTTTTTCCACTCACAGGTGGAACCGTAATACTGCTATTGGGACTTTCGCCGTAAAATATTATCAAGCGATGGAATTATTTACTTTCGAGTATTTCTTGAGGAATATTACAATTTATTGAAGTGTGTCCAGTGTAACAACATCGATCTGACGCTCTGCTAAGCAAGCCAATAGATTTGCGCAAAATCATTCAACGAAAATCTATGAAAAAACATTGCCTGCGTTATGCCCCAACGAAGCCTATAAACGCCGTGACATCCGCGAAAGCTTCTCGAAGAAACTCGTTCGTCGACGTTAGATCGTAACTATATAGAGGGCTCGGCGACAGCGTCCCTTAGCGCGCGCGAGGAAAGCTTTTTCAGAGCGAGCGGGCGACGAGACACGTAGCATTAGCGTGGAAGGGAGGACAGACGTGAGTGTGACGCGCGCAAACGCGATGTGATGCGAGTAACTGAGTGGCTAATTGAATGAAGCTGGCGCGTCTCTCAGGAGCGCCAATCTCGACGTGTCACACACTTGTCAGAATTTGCGCGGGAGAGAGCGCGGCGCGCGATTTGTCGACGTGGCACACGCCAGCTCGCGCTACCTGCCCGCCTACGTGCCGTGGCGCCCGCAGGATTTCGTTTTCGGCGCCTGCGAATTATTCATTGTTTGTGCTGGGCGCTGTTCTAATTCGCTGAGAACGCGTGTCGCTGGCGGTGGGCGCGGATGATTTATATTCCCTTTCGTTCGCGGGCCAGTGGCGTAGCGTAATCGCTTTCGTATCTCACGTTGGCTCAGCTGACAAATGCAATTGAGAGATGCATACGTCGCCGATGCCATTAATAATCTATTGCCGCGAGGCGCATCGTTTATCACAGAGCTTTCGGGCATTGATTGGTCATGTCGAATTAAGTTCGAGGTATGGCTTTTTCGCTTGGAAAATTCATCTATCGACCCGAGGGTAGCCCTTACTTATGTTCAAACTTTTTTTCATTTAATATTCTAAAGTGGTTTCGTCGTTCAGTACCGAGTAAGCAAGACTATGATTGATAAAGGACTTCAGAATCATTTTCCTTGTTTCATAAAACAAATGGACTAAAGGAGGCAAAGCAAAACATATTCAAAGAACGAACAGTCTTGGTGTAGAAGCATCACTTTAACAACGTGCAATCTTCCAAGTTGTCTGTTTATAAATTTTCTCAGGCACTTATCAAATGAATTCATTTCTGGACTTCAAGAGTCCATTTAATATTGCCTTTCGTAACAAAAAATTATGTCAACAACATTCTCGGAACGTCAAAAAGGTCCGAAAAATGAAGAAACAATTGGCCATCGCGTAAATCTCTCCGTGAACAGTCGGTATCAATTGGAAACACCGCCAAAGTATACATAACGATGCAAAAATGACGAAGCCGCGCCCGCGAAAGAAGCGCAAGAAAAGGCAGAGTAAGTACACAGCCGCGAAGTAGTCGTAGGGAAAAAAGACAATGTATACCCGCTCTGCCTCTAGAAAAAAGTGTAAAACAGACATCGCCGGAGTGGAAGATAAAAAGGTGTGCGGGAGAGAGTGAGAGAGAGAGTCGCTGGGTTGGAGGAGGGAGGCTTATATGAATGTTAAAATAAGTTTGAAATTGTCGAGGACAAGTTCAGCCCCGTGGGAGTCGACCCGGCCGAGTAATTCCGCCGCCAGTTTCTGGCCCTTCGGCAGCCAAGCAGCAGCAAGAAGAACCGAGCGAGCCTCATCTCTCTCCCTCGCACTCTCGCTCGCTTGTGTTATCTGTCTCTGATACTTTCACCACGCGCCACACGCGCGCGCCATGCTCTCCGATCATCAACGCTGTTTGCATCTGTTTATCCGCGCTGCCGCAACTCCGCGGTTTGCATAAATTTTCCGAGCGACTTTTCGCGTGAGCTGGCAACTTTGATTCCCCCCCCCCCCCCCTCCTGCTCCGACTCCACACATACACACGCACAGTTGCACTAATCGCTTTACAAAACGAACGTTTCGTTGATCAATCGTGTTATCTCAATATTGTCGTCGGACCCAAGCCATTCGCGAACGCTTGACAGCAGCATATTTACGAAAACTCGCCCATCCGAAAATTAAGACGGCCAAGGCAGAGAGGCAAGGTCGCGCGATAAGGGCGTGCGAGCATAAGGGCGACGGCGTTCGCCGAGATTTACATAAGATTATGCACGCGGGATAAGGGATTGAAGAAAGTGACAAGCCGAGTGCGAGAAGAGTAGCAGACTCTCCTGGGTGCCCTCGTCTTCGGTTGATAATTAGAATGAAAATCCCGCGCGTAACTCATTTCGAGGGATGTCGCTCGACTGGCGCGTCTATATATTCGCTAGTTGCATTTCCATATGATTTCTCAGAGTTTCTGAATTTCCACTGTAGCGTCTGGTTTGATTTACTTTGTTTTCGAGTTCGCAGACCGCAATTGTGGTTTTCGTAGTGGAGCATTTGTTTGATAATTCGAAAAAACTTTTATATATATGTCCTTAATAAATGACATAAGCGAGCGGTCCATGGCGAAAAAAAAGGAGATAGCGTCGATCATTTGGTTTCCTTTGTCGAATGAAACACATAATCAACGTAGTTACAGGTTTATTCCTGCGATAATGCTGTCAACGTATTCGGCATGGTACGAAAGCTCTCATCTCCATGTCCCCTGTACACGTAACACTAATTTTAAGCAACGATAAAGAATCCCAAACCAGCGTAAACTTATCTAAAATGATTTTCCCTCGTAAAAGCCGAGCGAGCGTACATCCCCCTTGGCGTTTATCTCACCGCGTGCAATTTACTTTCAAGCAAGTTGTTAAATCTCCGAAGCGTCGAATTATGCGTTTGGTATTCATAGTCTACTGGCGAAAATTGCCTCGGAGCGCGGGACAAAGGTTTACAGGAGATCGTAAAACTAAGTCGAACACCTAACAGTCTGATATTTATTTGGGCCCGCCCGCGAAAATATTCTCTTCTTCCTGAAGGATATGTATAGATGTCCGACACGTGCTGCCATCTTTTCTCGCGTGCTGCGTTGGTGAAAGTATAATATTCCGAGCGTTGGCGCACGCAGGACATCGACGAGTTTATCGTGGTAGGATCATGAACTATATCGTCGACAGGTAAGTCGGTAAGTGACCGTTTATGATACACGGAGTAGTTGAATTTTAGTGGCATTGTTGACCGGTAGAGTGTCGGTATATTATTGATCGTTTGCACCCTCTTCTAATTATTTAAATTCATTTTCTTCTCTTTACAATGCAACTTAATTTTTTTCAAAAATTAGATGGTTACTGATTAATCAGCTTTTTTAGCAAACATTTACGAGCTCAATTGCTTTATTTGATGAATCGTTGTATGGTGATTACGAACGCGAATGTATGAACAGATATATTCAGAGCATACAAATTGTTTTGTCACATGTAAATTGCTGAATTACTCTCGTTTGTAAATTCCAAGAAGTGAAATTCTTGTTCGGTTTATGATCTATCTCATTTCTCCAATAGGATGTTAGCGGCCTTTAGAAAAACGAATTTGCTGAAGACCGCATTAGAAATTGGCAATCTGTCGTCGGTTAACCTATTGCACAAAAGTCACGTCGCTAACAACAAGGGAAGCTGCGGTTGCGAGCCTCCGAAAGTCGCAGTGGTACGTCAAAGCATTGCAATTATTGTTTACGAAAGATAGCTTTTAATTTTGCAAAGGAAATCCCGTCAACGCCATTTCCAATTTGTAAGCTACGATCCATAAGCCACGTCTCGAATAACGGGGCGCGTTACTTTGGGCGCGTGATTGCGGCGATATTGCGAAATGCGAGAAATCACGCGCCACAGTGCGCCCCACTCGAATTGAAGCTGCGCGCCCGCGTAACGCCGCGCGAGAAGGCTGCGCGGATCGATTGTTGGCTGATTTCTCTCGCGCGCCACGAGCCGCCGAGGCTTGTTATTTACAGATGTACGGCATCTAGAATATTGCGCGCCAGCCGGAAGCACTCGGTCTCGCGTGCGCGATTGCGTTACGCGCTTTGGAAAAATGGGAAATCGGCGAATTAGCTTGACGACTCCGTCGAGATCGAGCAGTCGCGAACCTTGACGCGACGACTTACTTATCCAAATTTTTCAGATAGTATGCGGTTGCGGGGCACTAGACGGCACGGAAATCTCGGAGACGATCTCCGCAGCCATCCACCTCAGCGGCAAGAATTTGCAGCCGCGCTTTTACGCTCCCGACCTCGATATCTGCGGCACGGTGAATCACCTGACAAAAGATCCCGACGAGAGTGGCCAGCCTCGTAACGGGCTGATCGAAGGCGCACGACTCGCGCGCGCCGCCATCAAGCCACTCTGCGAGTGTAAAGCTTGCGATAATGCTGCCTTGATTATCCCCGGTGGTTTTGGAGTCGCTCGTACCTTGTAACACTGTCTACGCTAAAAATGCGCGTAGTCACGAAACGGCCATTTAATGAGTAAATGTCCCTTCCGTAGAAGCGATTTCGCCTCGAAAGGCTGCGAGTGTGTAGTGCTGCCGGAAGTTGAGAGCATCATCAAGGACTTCAATTGCGACAAGAAGCCGATCGGTGCAATGTGCATCGCCTCCGTTATCATCGCCAAAGTGCTTCAAGGAGTGAAAGTCACACTGGGAATGGATTGTAAGATTTATTTTATCTGATCGTTCATTTCCCGATCGCGACTGCTCTTATTCCTCGTGCGGTGCATCTACATATACTCGTATATAGTTTGCTTGCCGCAGTTCGTTACCGTAGCTCGTTGGATAATCCTCACGGCAGAGCTGCTTTTGCATATTATTGCTGGTTTCTTTTGAGAGAGGGGAAAGATAGAAATCTGCTTTTCTGCTTTTCTCCTTTTCTCCTTCGGTCGTACAATGCAATGCTTAATTTATAGCTCGACGAAAAAACAGAGGGAGGAACAACGAAACTACCAATGATAAGGCCTTTTACGTTAACCTCGCAAGTACAACCTTCTTAATGAATTTCTCATTGCAGCAGCTCATTGGTTATAATGATGGCACGAATGAAAGAAAAAATTAATAATATTATTTAAAAGTCTTTTATTTACAAAATTACCATTTAGAAATTAAAGTATACAATAAGATATTCTCGCGATTTTCTACCTTCACAAATACGATAATCATTCGAAAAAATGATTTTTCAGGTCCAAGAGACAAATGGGCTTATGCAGAAGCCATCGAAAAGGTCAGACAAATGGGAGCAAATGTGGAGCTGAAAGACGTCAAAGGCGTCACTCATTGCAAGCAGTTCAACGTCTACAGTACTCCCGCGTGGATGGATACACAAGCGAGTTATGCCGATATTCACGAAGGCATTGGCAGCATGATTACAGGCTTGAGTCAGTGTATTAAATGAGCAACGTTTGGTAATTTCTTTTTAATCTTTAAACATTGTTGATCGATAATGACATTAGACGAAAGACACTGTTTTCGGTTTACAGGATTGGAAAATCACTCGAAGAGAAAAAGAAATAGTCTTATAGAAGGAATATACATATACCTACGTGTAATAATACATTTTTTATTCGTTTTTTGTCTCGGCACCGCCACTGTTAAAGGGCAATGGTTTTACAAGTATAATATAGTCGTTTTATAAATTTTTTTGTAATACGTTTTTTCTTTTTCCAATGCATGGATAGAATCTACTTTTTCTATATCGCTATAATAGTCAACAACAAATGATATAACAATACGCACACAAGATCCACGGTGAAGTAGAGGTTAGTTGGAGAAAAAACTCGTTTTTTATCGATTGTTAACTCGCTTCATGTATTTGCGTTTAAGAAAAAAAACTTTCCGTAATGAGTAGGTTTAAAAGTTATGAGCATTTACACAGAGTGTAAAACCAGATGCATTGAAACGTTTGTTCATTTACGCTCTAGTATGCACTTTGCCGTAAGATCTTGTCTCCCCATGAAGGTCAGTCGTAACGGTGGAATTCCAAGGGCAACTTTATACTCGCTTGGAGTACCATCGCAAGTCGTTCGGTGGTTTTTTTTTCTTGCTTTTACTACATTTTTTTTCTTACCCTTTTTTTCGATGCTTTATAATGAATTTTTAGACAGGAAACGAATTATTATTTATTGTTTGCTTAAATTCTAGTGACAGTCGCTGATTCGTATACGTAATGACGAATAATTTATTATTTTTTTTGTTTTATTGCCGTTACTTTTGCGTTGATCGACGGCACTACTTTTCTATTTTACTTTCCGGTTGTTTTTTGGAATACCACGTAATCAAGATATTTGTACGTCGTTTATGTAACTGCAAAATTTCTTTTCCTCTCATTTGAATGAAAATCGAATAATTTTCATCTAACTAATCAAGCGAGGTTTCACAAGTAAAAAAAAAATAGAAAAAAGAAGTGTCGTCGATGGTTACGATGCACGAAAAAAAGTGCTCTCATCGGAGCCGTTTGAAAAATGGATCGTTTGACGTATCTTTTTTATGTCACCGATCAGCATTTCATAATTTTCAGAGACGACTTTCCGTTTGTTTTTATAAGCTCTGTAGATCAAATCAATAATAAAAATTTGACTAGAATCTCATGTATTTTCATACGAGTTAGATTATACCTCGCTAACTCGCACGAAAAGAGCCGAATTCAATCAAATCTTTTTCCACTGAACAAAACCGTCTACAAAGAATCATCTTACTCTCTACTTGCGACCTACTTTAATTGATTTATCTAATTGTAAATGCAAAAAATGAATGGTGTTGATTATCCGAGGAGTGAAAAAATACTGAAAAGATTCGCATCTACATGTGTCAGTTCCATTTCTCAAACGCCGTGAAAAACACTTGGGAAAAGGGTTCGTCGAGCGACGGTGAAATGGTTTTGTTGATTCACGACGATAGCACGCATCGTCATTTTTTTTCTCTCACGATGAAACAAACGTCGTCTCCTTGCTGTTACGATGAACTCGTTCAACTGAGTGCGAGGAGCGGTTCGACTGTCATACGTGATTTACGCAATTTGTCCTCTTGATATTTCTTCATCTTGATGAGTTTGCGCTTGGCCTGACTTAATTTCTTCTGCGGTACTTCAGTGGTTGTCGTGGTGATAACGTCTCCCTCTTCCTCTTCCAACATTCTCAATGTCTCGAAGATATTTCTTGGTTGGTCAGGTGCTCTGGTGCCAGTGCTACTTCCATTCTTGGCTGCATACACCACGGACAAATGAGAGAAGCTGGATTTCGGTGGCGCAGTGATGTCGGCGAAGTCGCGGAAATTGGCGAAGAAGTCACCGGCACGAACTGGTTGAGGCTTCGGGTTCTTGTAATAGCTGGTCCTACCACGATGGTAGAACGGACTGAAAGCAGTTTCGTCGATACTATACTCGTCTTGTTCTTTATCTTCGGGATAGTATGTTCCGCCGCGAATGACGCCAAAGTTGCCGGAACCAAGAAGAGCCGGTTGCTGTTCCTTGTTCGAAGATGCTATGGCGTAAGGGCGATCGCGCTGGAAGTATCCCAAGAAGCGACTTGGCCTGTAACGTTGTTGCGACTGCTGTTGTTGATGCTCGGTGAACGGGAGTCTGTGATTACCGAAAAGCTCTGCAAACGACGGGAAGAAGTTCTGGCTGTCGGTCTCTAGGCTTTTTTCTTCGCTGTCAAGTTTGGTAGATTCGCTGGTGCTTTCGCTGGAAGTCACGTGGATCGAAGTCTGCACTGGACGCACTGCCACAATGGTCACACGAGCTGGCACCGACGACGGCTGCTCGTCCTCGACGGTGCGATGGTCGTCCGGATGCTCGGGAGCGGATTTTTGGGTGGCGTGTTGTTCCTGATTCTCGTGTCGGGCAGCGCTATGAGAACTTTCAGCACCGTCGGGCTCCATGTACATGTCCGAGTCGTCACCGTCGTCGTAAGCCTCTTCGGTTCCACCGGTCTCTGAGGCTGCTGCTACGGAGTCCTGGAAGCAGAATAGTTGCATTGACTACGCGACAACTCGGCGTGAGTACTACTTTGCTTTGAAAGCTCGCTTTGTCGCGCGCGATGTCGGGAAAACAGTCGAAACATTTTTAACGCGCGTTCCAGCGAAGCTTGCAACACGCCGAATGCCAGAACTGAGAGAACAAGATCAACGCGAAGCGAAAGGATTCGAGCCGTACAAATAGCGCCCGTCAGTTGTCTGCCCGGAGACTTATTTAGCACAGATTTTGACGTCTATATAACTTCCATACCTACGCACGCAATCTCGCGCGCACTACGCGATACGAACTTTTGACGCGCATTTAATCCAGTTAAAACGCTTACGTGAATCTAATCACGGAAACGTAAAGCAATCCAAGCAAATCCTCTCTCGGTGAAACTTGTGGCTCGTTATTGGCATACCGGCGCGCGACATCGTTCTCTCCGTCATTGGGGCCGTCAATTTCGAGGTCGCCGTCACGTGGATTCAAAAGCTTGGATGGAATTTTCACTACTGCACGGCAACACCGTGATCCCTCTCCCACCCGTTCTTTCTCATTTTTCTCGTTGGCCGTACGTACGAACACGCCCACGCAGACGATGCAAATCATTGCGACATTATTATACAGGCACGCCTTTAATGCATTGTTATACGAATATGCCGGGTCAACGACAGCAGCGCAGCCGCGCACGATCCCCTTGTGTATATTTAAATTGCTTGCACGGTGAAAGAGATAGAGCTTGCGAAATCAAGCCTTTCTATGCACATTACTGGTTTAAGAGGTTCAAGCCCTCTTATAGTTTTTTTTTCCTTTTTGCAACCTAATGGGTTGATTGACGGTGCGAGAGAACCAGAGAACCGCGCGTGTTATGTATTCGTGCCACGTGAAAAATTGTATCGTACCCAGAGGCAAAGATGGGCTGATTATCATTTTCGCTATTAAGTTGTTATGCTTCACTGATATGTGCAGAGCAGTATATGCGTGGAGGTATTTTGCACCCACTTGAGGTTGACGTTCAAATGAAATGTTTAGTCATTTTTATTATCGTCGATGAAGCTGTAATGTATAATACTACTTTCAAATTAAACCCATTTCAGAATTCGTCAGCTTACTTTTGTATGCTTTTCCTATTCAAACGACCCTGATCTAAATATCAACGTGCTCCGCTGTAAATAACGTTAGTTAGATCAATGAAAAATGAAGTAAAAAATTGGAAGCTCGTTATTGAACGGATTTTCTAGAAAATTAATCACATAGTATAACTTTCCTCGCGTGTTCAATGAAAATTATTTAGTTAAACAGTTAATATTTCCGATAGAATCGTTTGAGCACGCAGCTCTATGTGTTCCTAGGTTTCTTCCTGCTATATCGGTATAATTTCTCACGCAGCACCACTGTAAACTCACTCGCAACAGTTTTTCATTCGGTTCATTGCAGTGCACACGAGCCAAAGAAAATCAGATCGCTTGTATTATTATTATTTATGTGCATATGATTCTCAGGTTTCGCGTTCGCCGCGCGTTCTCTTATTTTAGAAAACGCGAGAACTATCAATGGCACACGCGCGCCAGGAAAGTTTTCAATATCAGCGACATCGACAAATTGTTATTTATCGCGGTTTTGCGTGCTAAAGCAATTCCGCGACGAGATTGATGGTTGCGACGACCACTGACACTGGCCGAGGGAGCGTTGCAAAGCTGCTTCTATTGCATTAGCCTTTGTGTGCAAACTCGCCGTCGACCGCCAATGTTTATGCAAGATGGAGAAAGAGAGAAAAAGATATATATATATATATATATATAGAGAGAGAGAGAGAGAGAGAGAGAGAGAGCTAGGCGTTGAGCAAATTTGAACTTGTGATAATTAAAAAGCGAAACAACATTGTATATTATAGGTCAATCAACGGCTATCGAAATGGAAGAAAAAGTCTTTTCGTGAAAATTAGAAAATTAATGCAGACAGGTACTGTTTAATTTATTTTTGACGACTGATAATTGCGGAAGTGTGCAATTCACACGAGCTTCAAGCATTCCAAGTACAAGATCGTAAGAAAACTGTAAAATTTGGTTTGTTTTTCTTTGAACTTTATAACCGTCGAAATGTCGGCTGGCAAATTCAATTTTCGACAAGAGCATACGTATATAAATTATTTTTTTGAAAAAACAAAACTGCGAAAAGCACGTAAACGTTTTGCATAAGAGATAACGTCAGAGCAAGCTAATCGCTCAGAAATCTAAGCCATAAAGGTTGAACGACTGCTATCGATGATGCAGATAAGTTCCTTTGTGAATCGATCGATCGATCGTTATCGCGATCTCCCGCGACTCACGAGGGATATGGAGCTATGATTTTATCGGTTTATCCCTTTGACTATCTATCTTATGCTCGCATTGTTCTTCGTTATTTAGAACTCAAGTTCTGATGGTGTATGCTGTTACATATTTTCTATTTGCACAAAATTCTTTTTTTTTAAGAAACCCCAATGAATGATCGGCACTGTATACCTCGTAACCAGTTCTCTCATGATTAGCAACAGGAGCTCCATCTGAAACAAAAGAAAATGTTTCGATTAAAAATGTATTTTTTTTTTGAATGCAAGTGTGAGAGTATCGGGATTATACAAGCTCTTACGATTTTTTTCTATTCTAAATTCTATTATTCTCTTTTCAGTTACAATAAATCATTATGGAATGAAATTATACAGTTTTTGTTTTATTTATCAAGAGTTGATTAGAAAAGTTTTACATAGCTGAGCCCTTCTATATTTTACATTATATATGTGCAATTACATATTACAATTTCAACCTCAAACACGACGCTCTAGAAAAATATTTAACATTTTAATATAAATTGTTATGTAAAAACGTAAAATTACGTAATCAAAATAATAAAAAGTACTCGTTTAGAAAATAACAATTACTTTTTTAATTTCAATACATTGATTTATATTGCCATGTTCATTTTGCATTAGATTTGATAGTTATAAGTTGAGATTTATCAAATGTTTGAAAAAAATGTTGCTACAGACTTGTCTTTACAAGCAGATAAAAAAATGTTGATGACTTTTAACACAAATTATATTATCGTTGATTGCAAATTTGTTGAAAGGAGCATACTTAGTCAGGCTCTAACTACACACACACAACACATATAATGTCCTAAGCTCTTGCGAGAATATGCATTTTCACGTAAGGGCTGTTTAAAACATCACACGAGTGGTTTTTAAAATTTTAAGTTCGGATCAAAAACATTTAATATAATGTTTTAATAATATAATCTTCATAGCTATTATATTGATCGTCGAATGCATATCCTTTTTGCATAAAATTGAAAAATATCCAAATGAATGATAAATGAATTTGACCGTTACGATTATTGATAAAAATTCACCATATAGTATATATTCAATAATCTCAACAATTTTGAATTCTCTGCTCGATCTTCTTGTTATTTCTCATCTGTAATAGCTAGTAAACCATTAATTGATATTGAATTTCACCCCAGAAAAAAATGATGAAAGATTACGTAAAGTCTTTATATAAAATATTGAAATAATTTTTTTCATTTGTCAAAGAATTTGTTTTTAATTTTAAAAACCATCTCGTGCTGTTTCAAAATTAGCGATGTACTTGGAGAGAAGTTAGCAGAAGCATTAAACAACAGCTACGAGAGCTCCCAGTATGCAAACATACACGTGTATGCGAAGGTCCATCGACACATACTGCGCGTAAATTATTATTACGAAAGTGACAATACTGCGCTCGCAGTGAAAAACATGAGTTTCCCAACAATGCCGCAGATGAGTTTGCATTATTCATCGTCGATCACCTAACATGGTGGAGAAGAAGAAGCTGGTATTCGCGAATATCCCACGTATCGTCCTCATTTTTCAATGACGAGAGTAATACCCATTCGTCTTTTTCCACAATGTTACGAAGGAAGCTGGTAAAACCAGATTACGGATGCAAACCAAAATTTATACAACATCGAGTTTTCAGGCTGTCGTATAAATTCAATTAAATAACCATTAATAATAAATTTATGACAAAGTATAAAACGCCGAAGCCGACACTTCCGTTCGCGTTAATTGGGAAAAAGTGTCTTGCGAGCGCGCAAAATATCCCCCTTCACATACTATGCCGCTCGTAATTATCGGACGAAAAAGAAAAATGGTAATAATAATTTTGATAGCGAGAGCGTCCCATTGTTGGCTTTCTCGAGTAAGTATAGGCGCATAAAACTTTCTAAGGCGCACGCTGCATAAATTTCGCTCGCGCGCGGATCAATCAGGAGCGCGTGTGCTTTCACCTCGCCTAAAAATTGCACGGGGGTCGACGAGTGGAAACAGTGGAAACAAAAAAAAAGTCCAGAGCTCTGGCTACCTTTTCAGGTAAACGACGCGACAGATATACGTCGAGGAAGTTGATTTACATTCGAGATTCGCGTCGTATACGGACAGCAGCGTTCGACATGAAGTCGTTTGGATTTGTCCGATCGTTAAATGACAAATGCGTGCATTTTGCCATTCAGGAAGGGAAAAGCGAAAAGTCAGTCGAAAAGGCCAGATGGGTGATTAGCGTTATTATGTGTTTACACTCGTAAAAAGCAGCCAGGAAGAAAGTGCAACCGCGGTAACAACGTTGTTTCTTTTTCCTTTTTTTTACGACGCCGAAAAAAAGTTTTACGCGTGTTTATAACACACATGAGATGCAGATCGTAACGATGCTGCGAAGAAAACGTAGCTTTGTTGTTTCGGAACGCGCTGCACCCGTGGTTCATTCTTTTTTTACGTAATCTCGCGGATATCTCTCCAACGGTATAAGAATTGCTTTTATCGTGTGTTCAAACGTAAAATTAATAAAATTTGTATCCGTTTTCGGCGATCGTCATTTCTTACGGACGTTCATTTACAATAGAGGATGGAACAGTTTCGCAGTCACTTATAAAGGCGCGCGACCGCGATAAATTTCACCTTACGATCTACCAATAACGACATAACGTTTTGAAAATATAAATAAATAATCTGCAGTCTATGCGCTTTTTATCTCTCCTCTCCCATAATGACGAATACGATAAGTCAGTCTCCCTTTGCGAAAAGTCATTTACTTGCTTCTTCTTTTTCGTTCTGTCCACGTGCAGATAAACGTATGCCTACTGCAAAGTTTCCCAAGAACGAAGCGGCAAAAATACCATCTTGTGCAAAATTAAACAAAAGCCAATAAAACGATGAAGCGCGCGGCACGTGGATATCTGCTTGTATTGCACGCCGCCGCGCGTCTGTCGCAACGTATAGAAAACCCTCGGTGTAATTTTCCGCTCATCTCTCTCGCTGGAGTCGTGTAGACCGGCAGCAAGTTCTCGATAATTTCTTCATATAAGCTCGCTTGCACAGTGCAGCGCGGCGGGCAAACAGCACGTACGGGCCGATCATCATCGATCCAGGAAGCCGAAGGATCGCGGCTAATGAGATGCACCACGTCGTTACTCCGCTGCTCCCTTCGCCAAAGAAAAATTCCGAGATCCTCGCTCCGATATAATTTTCCAGTGGGTTTTTACAAGAGGTTTCGCAATTGTTACTCCTTTGAATGTGCGCGCGAATCGCCAACACGCGTTTAGTCCGACCGATTTACGACCGAGAACGTCGAAACGTATAAACAAACGCGTCCGGCAAAGAACTGCTACCGCCGAAAGCACTCGCGTAATTTCGATCCGCGTTACAAACACTTAGCCCGATGTAATCCCTACCCTCGGCATCAAATATTAATCACACAACGAGAGTGAAGCTCGGTTGCCGTGTATAGCAGCTGCGCGGCGTCCAGTTTCGTCATCGAGCAGCGACGCTCGCGCGCCACTGTGTTCGTAATCAATTTATCCAACGCGAGAGAGGCGATTATGTGTGCGATGCATTCTACGAGCGAAAAATGAAATCGAGATAAAGCGGCTTAATAGGAGCCCCAACGTGAAAGAAAAATAGCGAGCGTTCGTTTACAGAAGAGTTGAATAATAATGAAGAGCGCGCATCGCTGCGCGATACATGTGGAAATCAGCGGCGCGCGCGCTGGTAATTGCGCAACAATCGGCAGGAACATATTGCATCGAATTCAATAAATTAATCGAGCGCGTTCGCGCGCGTGCACCTTAAACGACGTTTGCATCCGCGCTATCGCGCAGCCTCCTTTCGTCGCATTCCGTCACGTTTTGGCAACAGGCGTGCGCGCTGACAAATTTAACGAGCGCAACTAATGGAACGAGTGCAACTCAACGAAACACCGAGACTACTCCATTTTCTATGGACGATCCCTGTCCACCGTTCGACGATTTCAATGGCAATTCGAATGCGCATTATTTCTCTACTGGACTCGCTCTTTTACTCCGCTTTAAGTGATAGCCTCCATCGTTTTTAACGGAAAACGTTGTCTTTTACGATCTCGTAAAAACTATCCTGAAAGGGAAAAAAATCCACGACATGTTACTTTCGCGAGGCGTTAACGTTTTATGCGGCAAGCTATATGCGTAAGGGTAATTTCTAATTTATTGCACGGCGAATCGTTAAACTTAATCGACTTATTGTAGCAAAATAGAAAAAGCTTCATACATCTATATATTACGTGAGTAACGACATTCCTAGAAAAAATAATGAATTATATAAAAAAAGAGGTGCGCGCAACAAAAGCATTGTCCCGAACAATGCTGAAAGGTCTCCTAGTAAAATTACATTGGAAAGTGCTGCAACAGAGTGCAAATATTATGCGCCCGCGAAGACGCGCGCCACGGCAATAATAATACCACGATTCGCTGTGGGCGAAGGGGAGAGGACATCAAATAATGGATCACGATGCACACCGACTAGACTGAAAGAGCGGATCGTGGGAGTTTTGCTCCGAGGCACTCCTGTAGTAATGTTTCGCTGCATCGTTTGCGAGTTACCTGAACTTTGGCGAAAGGGCGCACGATGACGTCCGCAAAAATTTGGGAAGATCGACGCGAATCGTCGCCTCGAAATGAAGAAACCCAAAGTTACCCAATAGTTGCGCGTACGCAAGAGACAAGAAAAATGCACGACGTTGATCAAGAGCTGATCCGATATTACGATGCTCAACAATACGCCGCTCGGCGCAAAATCGCTTTCCAATCTCGAACGAAAGTAAAAGCTCCGCCTCGTCGAAAAATTATAAAAACGTCGCTGGCGTCCAAATTAAGAGCACGAGTGAAAGCTTCGGAAGAAAAAGAGAGAAGAAAGAAAAAAAATGAATTGACCGGTGACTTTGCATGTACGTACGGACACACGGAGCAGACGTGCACTCGCGAGAGATTGGCCGTTCGCGTCTAATCCCCCGTAGGCGCACAACTGTACTTTCTCCGTTAGGGAGGAACCAATTACGGACTACCGCGCCATTCCTCATTTTGTCCGATTCGAACAATAAAGCAATGTAGCGTGCTCGCGCGGAATTAATAAATTCGCCGCTCATTGTCCGCCACTTAAAATCAATTAAGGGGATAGGTTATTACGACTCTCGGCACATTGGAAAGGGGAGAAAAGCATCG